TCGTCCATCCGTAGGTCACACAAGCAGTGTTTATGCTACGAGGTGAGGCAAACCTCGCTGTTTATTTTGCATTAAACAGAGAATAAAGGCAGTCTTTATTACATTTTTGGCTTGAGAGCCCAGTGTTGCTGGTTAAGCTGAATTCCTGTCATTGGATTTTTTTTTAAATGGCTATTAGTTTATTCAAAAATGTATGAGGACCCACTGTGTGTCATGTCTGGCACTAGTTGCCTTGGGGAATACGAAAATAAAAATGAAAAATAAAGCACCGTTCTGTCCTTAAGAGACTCACAGTCCTATGAGGGGGCAAAACCTGTGGAAAGATAAATGGTTGTATAGATAGTCAGCAGAAGCCCAGGTCGAATTGAGGGGCTCAGAAATGCTGGAGGAACAAAGAAGCTGAATCTGTGTGGATGAGATGTTCAGGGAGGGGGCTTCATGGAGGAGGTGAGGCTTCTGTTTCCACCTCGGGCATGAACAGCAGCAGGAGGCTTGTCCATCTGGTTGCCTGAAGTGTCCCAGGGCCTCACAGGGTGCCTGGGGCATCGTAGCACTCAACAGGGATTTTTCAAATGGATGAATGAGATTGTCCTTAAGGGTCAGGAGGATTCTGATCGGTAGAGAGGAGGGAAAAAAGGATTGCAGGGAGGAGCTTGATGCTGGCATTAAAAGAGTGATGCTGGCCTGGCAGTGAGGGATGCTCGTGGGTGGAAAAAGGGCAGGGAAGGGATGAGGTGGGCCAGACCAGGAAGGCTCTCAACCAAGAGTGTAAGACCTGGGGGAGCCACGGGAGGGGTTTGAGCCAGACACGCGGGTGCACGGTGGTCAGCTGGATAGGTGGGCTGGCCATGTGTGAGGTGGGCTGGGTCAGTCCATCCATCCGGATGAGTCCCTGTGAAATGACAAAGCTGTGATGCCCGATTCTTACTTCCCCGGTTCTCACTGCACACCTGTAAGAGTGGGAGTGGGAAGGTGACGAAAGGACAGGAAACGCATGGCTGGGCCAGGATGGGCCGTGAGAGTGAGGAAGAGGGAGCAATAGGCATGTGAGGGCTGGGGGCCTCCATCAGTCAGAGGAGGAAAGACTGAGGACGTCCTGGGGGTGTTTGGTTTGAGAAGCTGAGGAAGGTGCGTACATGGTACTTGGGAAAACAGATCTCTACATGGAAGGCCGTTTTAAAAAATAGTCGAATAAAGAAAGCTAAGGGTTTTGATAGCAAGATGCAGGACTCTGATCACTGTGGAGGGAAGGAACTTCTAAATGAGCAGAAGTCATGCAGAACCAACCCGTCATGCGTGCTGGCCGGGATGATGGCGGACTGGTGTATCTCCATCACGGTCCTCCCACCTGACACCACTCCAAGGTGACTTCTCGGGTGGGGAGGCCTAGGCTGATATTAAATCATGGCTTCTAGAGGGAGGGAAGGAGGAGAGTTGGGCTAAGACCTGACCCTTGCAAATGTGCATCCCCGGGGGGGCGATGAGCCTCCTGCCGACTTTCAGACAAACTGTGAAGTACTTTCTTAAAGATTTGCTTGCTGGTTTGCCTAGCCTTGCCTCTCCCTGTATCTTTCCCTGATGCAACTTCCAATGAGACTTTCAAAACTGGTGATTTTTCCTCATTGGCAAGAGCCCCAGACTGTCACATTGTGGAATTTGCAAGTCATTCACAGATGCTGCAAATGTGAAACGTCATTCAAGCACAAGACTGAGAGACCAGCCCTGGAGCTTTCACTGGCCTTTTTATTTTTTTCCACCAACCCACTGGTTAAAGCAGGGCAGGTCATGGCCTCAGTGCACCTTGAGTTTCCCCTTTGGAAGCAGGTGATAATCATTCCCAGGGCCCAGGCCCTCTCTGGGGAGGTGATGCATTTTGAGTAGGACAAGTCCAGAAGGTTTTGTGAATTCCTCGGAGGAAGGCCTCTTGGAGAGCCGGGGGAACGGTTGTCTCTGGCAAGAGGGCCCGCATTCAGACTTTAATTTGAATTTTAAAACGTGCCAGACGCATGGCCGGCTTCCGGGCTATCGGGCTTAATATGCAACTCGCAAGTCTAGAGAGACTTTTGTTAGAAAAGAAAGCCGTGTACGTGGTTGATTATTTCCACTCTTCTCTTCTGAAGTTGAACTTCTGGGAAAAAAAATTCCTACCACTTGTGGTTGTGGAAGAGATTCCACAGCAGTGAGGTCAGGAGGGACGTTCTCCGCGTACGTGTGTGTTTTCCTGCACCGAGGGCTCTGAGCGGCCCACGTGAGCTCGCTGGCCTGCAGCGAGCACGGAGTATGAGCCACGGAGGGTTCCCCCGCCGCCCCCGGGCCCAAGTCCAAGGGCAGCTGGGAGGCAGTTCTGTCTTCCCTCACGTCCACTCCGGCCTGACTCACGGCTCCTCCGGGCGGGGCGCAGGGTGGACTTCAAATGTGGACTTCGAACGTGTAGACCTGGAAGGGACCTCCGAGCAGGCTGAGCCCCAGGCCCTGCCACGTGAGGCTCGGCTTAATGCTGGCAATGAGTGGGGTGCGGGCGGGAGGGTGAGGACCACTCAGAGTCCCGTGGTTACGAGCCTGGGGCACGGGCTTGGAGTCAGAACTCGGTTTTCACCCTTCTTTATCGACTTAGTGGCTGTGTGAACTTGGAGAAGATGCAGAACCTTGCTGAGTTTTCTCATTTTTCACCCGTAACACGGGTATCCCACTGGCTCTCTCATCAGTTGTCATGGGAACTGAGGAGGGGAATGGATGTAAAGTTCTGAGCACAGAGCCTGATGGGTAGTGAGTTGGCTGGTATTTGACAAATGAGGGCCCTCAGGATCATTATGGTTCAGAAAAGAGACAGGGGCCTGTGGCTGGGGCATAGGGAGGAAGACTGGCAGGGCCTGTGAAGGGGAGAGACGGTATTTTATGAAATGAATGAAGTGGATTTGAGCCCAAGAGAACAGGAAGGAATTGGTTCTGTGGAGGGCGAACAGAGAAGACATTCCAGTTGGAAGGAACGATCAATGTGGCGCTTACCTGACCGCTCTCCCCGGGCTTTGGAGGGAAACCGTCTGCATCTTCCTCCACCACGTAGGAGCACAGACACACACACTCTGCACAACGCACGTACACACAACCCAGTCACATGCACATCATCCTGCACACGACACACACAGGCAGTGCACTCCCACAGAGACACATGCACAAGTGCACAGACACACGCAGAGACACACACACATAGACACACTGAAAACACTCAGGTGCACACACGTGCGATGAGTCAGCGGAAGAACAAGGACAGTGACATCAGTTCTGGCACTTTCTCTTCTCCCAACATCATTTCCCGCATCCCAAAACCCACCAGTCATCCTTCTGCTGAGGGGACGCTGCTCTGCATCAAGACAAGGGTCTGCTGAGCCCACCCCCAACCCCAGGCCTTCCTCCTGCTGGATTCACCCATCACATCTCCCCTTAGTGAGCCTGTGGTGGTGCTGATGCAGGGGGTGGGTTGGGGTCGTGTGGGGGGTGGATCTGTGATCTGTGAATTTCATAAAGTCAGCCCAGCCTGCCTGCCCCATGAAGCCACAGGGCTGATGCCACAGCAGTCACTTCCCTGGAATTCTAGCCTGGCCTCCTGAGGTGCAAAGATGCAGGAGGGGGCTGGCGGGTCTAAACCCTCAGGGCCTTTCTTGCTCGCCCCATGCATGTGTCTCGGTGGCACAGGTCCTGTGACCTGAATGGGTGCTGTAAAGGATCCAGAATCCAGGGTGGCAGACATAATCCTGCCACTGGCAGCTTTCTTTCCGCTCTGCATGGAAAGGAAGCAGGGCCAAATGCCACCCCTCCCGGCCTGCATACTTTCCGCCGCCTTGCAGGACCGGGGAATCAGGGCCTGGCTTTGCACCCTGAAGCCAGTGGCAAGAGACGTGAATCCCTGGGCACCCAAATAATGGTCCTGTTCAAACCTCGTGGTTCATTTGCATCCTGGCTGGACGGGGGTTTGGACACTCGGGTGCCTGGGTTCCTCCGTGCCAGCACCCCTGCCCGGCTCCCCTGGCTCAGCTCGGGGAGCCTCTCACCCTGCACCTCTGGTGCTCCCTCCCTCTGCGTGGTCCTGCGGAGATCACTGGAGTCACCCAGTTCTCTTATCTGGAAAATAGCGATGATGACAGCTGTAACCTCCTCATTCTGCTGTTTGAGGATTAAGTGGGAAGATGAACATAGAGCATGTACTGAGGCCCTGCTGGGCACAGGCTGGGGCAGAAAGAAGAGGGGCTGAGAGTGAGGGATTCAGGAGCTCCCATGGTGTCTGGGGACAGATTGGGTGAGCCTCGGAAAAACATAAAAGCTATCACTGCAAATCCCAGGGAATCCCTGGTCCTCCACCCAGCTTGGCCTCCCGAGGCCCCTTGTCCTACCAAATCCCTGGGACGTGGGTGTAGACGTGGGGCAGGGACACTGTAGCTCAGTGTCCGGGGTTGGGGAGGAGAGGTCACACTGCAATGAGACGGGAGCCCGCCCTCCACCCCCAGCATCTACTGTGTTCGCCTAGTGGGGTCCAGCCTTTGGCTCACTGCCACGGAAAGGGGGTGGGGGGAGGGGAAGCTTTACCGAGGGATAAACGGGAGACACACACGCGCACACAGACACACTCACACACATGCACACGTATGCTTTGGAGTAAAATGCAAACATCCAAATTATTTTTTCTGTTGAACATGAAATTCAAGGAACACGTTTTCTCTTCTGCTCTCATTTTGAGACCCCTGCAGGAGGAGGCTGGGGTCCTCCAAGTCTCTGACTGCACAGGTCACCCCTGCTCCCCGTCCTCTGGTCCCTGCAGCCACTCGACCTCCCACGAACAATGCTTGATAATTGTGGCCTCATGCTGTGTGCTCTCCGGGAGCACCCGCAAACCCCCAAAGCCCCCTGCAGGACCAAAGTGGAGAGGCAGGCTATAGCCGCGTGCCCAGGCTGTTGTCACCTCTCCACAGCCAGAGCAGGAAGGTAACCCGTCTCCTTCTTCCCAGAACATGAACATCCAGGTGGAGGACATCCGGATCCGAGCCATCCTCTCCGCCTACCGCAAGCGCACCCCGGTGACAGAGGGCTACGTGGAGGTGAAGGAGGGCAAGACCTGGAAACAGATCTGTGACAAGCACTGGACGGCCAAGAATTCCCGCGTGGTCTGCGGCATGTTTGGCTTCCCTGGGGAGAAGACGTACAACACCAAAGTGTACAAGTAAGACGGCCGCGGGGAGTGTGGCTTCCTGGGCTGTGGCCCTGCCTCGTTGTAAGAGTAATCTCCGCAGGGGCCCGGGCCCCCGGGGTCCCCCCAGCAAATGGCTATCCTGAGAACCCTGGGATTTTGCATCAACTGTTAGGAAATTGAGAAACTGATCCATTTGATTCGGTCACACACATCCTGAGTAAATCTTGCCATCGTGTTATGGGTTCCAAAGTTAATATCTCCCAAGGGGAAAAGGAGATTTAGAGTAATTTGGCCAGAGTGAGTGTCTAGTGAAGGATTTTCAGCCCATGACAAGCTGGTGTATCGTCTGGTCGTGGGGTCATCCTACCTCCTCTCATGAGGGTAATAATCAACTGTTTTTACAGAAGGCTTACTGTGTGCCAGGCTCTGTCCTTAGTCCTTAATCCTCACAACACTAGGAAGCAGGGGTCTATTTCAGAGTGAGGAAATGAAGTCAGAGAAGGATGACAAAACTAGGAAGGGGCAGATCCAGGATCCAAACCTGGGTCCCCAGTGACAGGGTTCAGACTCCTCCGAGAGTGCAGACTGACAAGACTACCTCTCTCCTTTCAAGCCAAAGAGAGAAGTGGCTTTCAAGCCAGGAGACAGGGGCTCCGCCCCAGCTCTCCCTCCAGATCCCTGGGATCAGTGCAGGCTGCGTCCCTGCCTGGGCTTGGTCAGAGCCCCCAGTCCACCACGAGGATGAGTGCTGGCGGGGGAGCTGCCCAGCTGGGCAGGCGATCAGAGTGGTGATTCCCACTCCAGCCGCCCCCAGACATGGCCCAGACCTTCCTGTTTGCACAGGGCAGAGTGAGGGGGTGAGCAGGGTGGTCCCCATCCTCTAAATAGTTTGGTGAACCCCTGCCAGCTGGCCAGCTCCTGCCCTGGAGACACCATCTCAGCTTTTCCTTCCAATTAGAGCCAAGAAAAGCAAGCCCCCTTCCTTGACAGACCTCCTACCTGCTGGCCCCGCCAGAGCCCCCAGCCTGGCACAGGTCTGAGCCCAGTCCTGGGAGCGGGAAGTCTGCCGTCAGCCCTGCCCAGAGCAGGATGGGGTGCCATCCTGTTCAGATGGCATTTGAAAGCCACCTTCTCAGTTGCAGAAGGTCCAGAGTCTTGCTCCTGGTTTTGAAGAGGGAGCGCAGATCTCAGATCCCTTTTAGCAGCTGGGCCCAGGGAAGTCCTCTCATGTACTGGATTTTAAACCCCCTCCTGGCTCCTCCCACTCTGTCTGTGGCTTTGCTTTTTCAAATGAGGGCAGGAAAAGGCTTCCAAGGCTGGGAGGCATCCGAAGAGGTGGTGGTGGGCAGTCCCCTCAGCCAAGATGGGAGACGATTAACAGACACTGGAAACCAGCTCCTTCTCCAGCCCTCTCGCTGGAGATGGTGTAGAGCAGCCGTGGTGGGTAAGCGAAAACCTTCTGGGTCTCAGCTTGTCTTTGACATCATGTGTTAGTCTCTGAGATGCTACTGACAGTTGAGCCCCAAAAGGGAAAGCCGTGCTGGGAAGAGTTTCTGTGCCTCAGTGGCACTGTTAGTGGCTGAGATGGCAGCTGGGAGGCGGAGGGGGAGAAGCTGTTAGGGGAGAGTGGGGTCCTTGGAGGTCCCCCAGCCCAGCCCTCAGGCTGCGCAGGAGGAGACCCAGGCCTGAAGGGGCCACAGAGCTGCTCCTGCCAGAGCTGCAGAGGCGCCCAGGGCTGCTCCAGGGAGTGCTCTCCGCGCTTCAGACCTGGCTCCAGCTTTGCTCCGCCCTGAAGGCAGGGCCTGTCTGCTCCCCACAGGCCCTCCCCAGGGGCTGACTGATAAGTCTGAGAGCCAGAGCAAGACTGGCCTGGGGACGGGGCTATCTGTGAGCCCTGCTCAGAGACTGAGGACAACAGAAGCCTCAGAGCCAGAATGATGGCCACACCCTGCGTGGTCCCTGAATCCATGCCTTCCAGTAGCATCTTTCCCCACCGCCCTTTCACCCTTCCTTCTGCCTGTCACTGCTGTTGCTGACATCACACCCCCAAGGCAGGCCTCGGGGAGGCCTTCACTCTAAGAAGTGATTCCAGCTGGGGTGGGTTAGTGATCTCCAGGCATCCACCAGGCCCCTGAGGGAAATTCACCCAGGCAGCATCTGAGGCCTCTCTAGCCTGGCTCCCTCCACTAACCTGCAGGGCTGGTGGCTTTACTCAGTGGCCTTAGAATTATCCCCAAGGCCAGGACTAGAACTCTTCATCAGAGGCTCAGCTTGTCATCCACCCCTGACTCCCCCCACCACATCAGAAGAGCCTGGCGGGGTCACTCACAGAACCCCCAGAGGCCTCTGCGTTCACAGGCTCGCCCCGGAGAGAGTCATGAGCTGACTTCTGTGCTGAACTGGGGAGCCATGCACGTACCTCTAAACTGATGAAGCTGAAGTCTCAGGGCCCATCCCTCAGGGCCAGGAATGTTTCGTAGTCCTTTTTTCCTTTCTTAAAACAGGACCCCAATATTGATACTGCTTTGTGGATACGAGCTCACTAAGCAGATGCTGTGTCCCACGTCGCATCTCGGGAGTCAGGAGGGTGCGCTAACACTTTGGTGGGTTGGATGAAACAGACCCGAAGGAGGCCCACCATAGCGAATCAGAGATGTCTGGACCCCTTGGTTTCATGTAGAGGAAGGGGTACAGAGGCTTGGGGAGACTGGAATGTTGGAGTGGAATTGTCGTCTAAGACCTGCTCACCCACCCTGGGGGGGTCCAGAGACGCACTGTTTGCCACGACTGCGAGGAATAAATTTGTGAGGGGAGCCCTGGCATTCTTAAGAGTCCCTGACCGCTCTTCTCTGTAAGCCAGACCGAATGCTGGAAGCTGTAGTCACTGCAGGTTGCAAAACCTCAATGCAAGGGGAGTAACTGGATTCGGGGAGTGGTCAGGGCCAAGTGACAGCAATCAAGGTCAGAGGAAGGTGGGCATGGCTACCGAATGGCCAGCAGAGTCAAAGCAGCCATCAGACCAGTCCGACCTCTGCAGGCCCACGGCGTTGGCTACTTGATCTCGTTGGCTGGATCATGGTGTTCCCAGAAGTAAACCAGGAAGCCTACTAAATTTTCACTTGATTTGTAAAAGCAGGAAAGTTCTAAGTCAAGAGAACAAGAATGTAACCTGAATCATAAAAGCAGACAGTCGTGGCCCCTCCATCCTTTTCCAGGCCTAAGCCAGTTTACAGACCCAGAAACCCTTGAATGAAGAAAAGAAGGCGGGGTCCCCTTGAGGAAGGACCGTGGCACATTGCCAAAACTTTGTACTGTTAATCATTCCCCCAGCCTTCCCCAAAGGGACCTACGACCTTCTCCCAAGGTCATTGGGCATCGTGGAAAAGAAAATAATCAGAACTTTCAGGAACCCGTGGACACCGGCTCTGAACAGAGATTGATTCCAGGGGCCCAGACATCACTGTGGCCCACAGAGTGTGGACGTCAGGTGATCAATGGCGTTTTAGCTCAGGTCCGTCTCACAGAGGGCTCGGTGGGTCCCTGAACCCGTCCTGCGGTCACCTCCCTAGTTCCAGAATGCATAACTGGAATAGACATATTCAGTAGCTGGCAGAGTCCCTACAAAGTCTGGCTCCCGTCCTGACTGGGGGAGAGCCAGGAGGACTTCTGAATTTTAGTTGAAGCAATTCAGTTCAGTGTTCTTCCAGCTACCCAGCCATTGGCCTAGACACCTCCTTCTCAAGCAGGCTTCCTGCTTGGCCAAGGCTCTCCTCTAACTCCAGTCGCCCACCAATCACCAGGCCTGGAGGGAGCTGTCCACCCATCCTCCCCAGCGCCTCATCTTTGCATCCCCCGGGGCCTGTCCGAAGTGAATCACGGGGGCGGGGTGGGCTGCCGGTGGCGGAGGCCTGTGGAGGATCACAGTTGAGTTCCTGTGAGCTGACGTAAGAGGGCAGGGGCCTGTCTGGGGAAGGAGGAGCAGCTCTGTGTCTGCTGAGGGTGCTTCGCTCTATATTAAGAACTTAGTACCTCTGTGGCCTGGGAGAGGGTGGTGGTCACTGAAAGCTGGGAGCAAGAAGATGTTCCAGCTCAGTGAGGCCTGACCACTCCTTGTGCAGCTGACATCCCCCGGGTGTGTTCTCTGGCCTGGTTGTGGGGAGTCATAACAAGCTGTAACCACCCCCAGCATGTTCTCCAGTCCGATGTGGGGGTGTCATGGGAAACAAGCTGGAGGCTGTGTTTCCAAGTGCAGGGCCTTCCAGGAAGTGGGAAAAGGCAGTGGCTCTTGGAATCATTAACAGTCCTCTGGTGTAGCTCTCTGCTCTGGCTGTAGCGATGTTGAGCACACACTCTGAATTTTTCCAAGATAGTCCTTTTTCAAAGATTCTGTCATTGTACCCGCAGGTACAGCAGAATTATTACCAGTCACAATTTTTAGTTAAGGAAAGATATTGGCAGCATCTGTAGGGTTTCTCCTTCCTCTGAGACAACGCAGAAACTTCTCATTGACTGAGACAACACAGAAACTTCTCATTGACTCTGAGACAATGCAGAAACTTCCAGGCCTGCTAGACCAGCAGGGACAGACCCGCTTCTGCGCATTCGGGGCCAGCCTGCCCTGGGCCTCCACTCCCCTGGGCAGCTGCATGCTGTCCAACTCTGCCTGGTAGCTCACTGAGCTCTGCCAATCAGGGACAAGCACACAGACCCCAAAGACCCAAGACAGCACAGGAGGTCAGGGTGTCCTCCCCACTCTCCCCTTTTTCAAATCCGGCCATCATTCAAGGCCCAGTTCAAACTCACTCTTCCAGGAAGTCATCCGTCATCACTGCAGCCACGGGCTCCCTCCCTTCTGTCATCTCTTCTTTTTTTCCTTTAACCAATACGGTTTTTATTTATTTAGAAACATTTAGGTTTATAACTTACATTTAAGTAAATTTGTAGATGCTGGGCACTGTGGTAAGTGCTTTACAAGTATTAATTCATATAACTTTCCTACCAGTCTTATAACAGATCCCACTGCCACTTCTGATTTGGAGATGGGGAAACTGAGGCACGGTTTCCTTTCCATTAACCGAGTCATTACTTGTTGATTGGTTATCATTTTAGAAAGGACTTTGACTCACCTTGATCCATATTCTGCCTTCCAAAAAAACCCCCCAAAAAACACATGATAAAGCCAAAGAGCTTCCCTAGGATGTGACATGGAGACAGCCTCGTCCCACCGACTCCTGGGTGAAGATCTGGTGTGGTCTGTGGCTGATTTTCATCACCATTGTAATTTCCACGACAAAGCCAATTCAGTAGGTGGGGTAATTTGTCTGTTCTCATTGTTTCTCAGTGGATTTGCACCTTTAATCTTGTCTATCATTGTGAGAGAGTTTTATACTCAACTTATCCTGCTCATCAACAAAGGGAAATAAAGACAGGGAACCACAACAGATCATGTTAAAGTTATTTGAAGAGTTCAGTGACCAATCATTCCATTTGCCCAGGACTGAGGGGTTCCTGGGATCAGGGCACTTGTCTCTCTCTTTTTTTCTTAATTGATTAATTAATTAATTTATTTATTATTGAACTATCATTAATTTACAGTATTGTGTTAATTTCAGGTGTGCAGCAAAGTGATTCAGTTTTATATGTATATATTCTTTTTCAGATTCTTTCCCATTATAGGTTATTACAAGATATTGAATATAATTCCCTGTGCTACACTGTAGGACCTTGTTGTTTATCTGTTTTATATATAGTAGCGTGTATCTGTTAATCCCAGACTCCTAATATATCCCTCCCCCTCCCCTTTCTGCTTTGGTAACCGTAAGTTTGTTTTCTGTGTTTGTGAGTCTGTTTCTGTTTTATAAATAAGTTCATTTTTATCACTTTTTTAGAGTCCACGTATAAGTGATGTCATAGGGTATATGTCTTTCGCAGTCTGACTTACTTCACTTAGTGTGATCATCTCTAGGTCCATCCATGTTGCTGCAAATGGCATTATTTCATTCTTTTTTATGGCTGAGCAATATTCCATTGTATTCATCTCTTTTAGAGCCCTTTTTGCACTTTGTATTTAGAGGCTTAGTATTATCTCACTACGCTGAGTTAGTCTTTTGTCTCCTAGACTGTGAGCTGCAGGGGGCAGGAGGCCATGACCACCCTTCCGGGTCCTGCTCCCCAAGGCCCAGAGCAGGCCCTGCATGACCAAGGTGCTGAGTGAGTGCTTGCAGCCTTTGTGGAGCAGGACTGGGCTCCAAGAGCAGGGACCATGCCCGTCTGGTTCCACCACCAGATCCCCAGCAGCCACACAGTGGCTGGCCCTGGGCAGGGGTCCAAGGCCCAGCTGTGGAAGGAGGGAGAGGTGGGCACCACGATGCCCCGGTCACCTGCCCCGTCTCGCCTTCCGCAGAATGTTCGCCGCCCGCAAGAAGCAGCGCTACTGGCCGTTCTCCATGGACTGCACGGGCACGGAGGCCCACATCTCCAGCTGCAAACTGGGCACTCAGGTGTCATTAGACCCTGTCAAGAACGTCACCTGTGAGAATGGGCTGCCGGCCGTGGTGAGCTGTGTGCCCGGCCAGGTCTTCAGCCCTGATGGACCCTCGAGATTCCGGAAAGCCTACAAGCCAGAGGTGAGGACAAGGCAGGAGCTCTGGCCACTTGGTGCCTGGAGGGGCGGGCTGGTGCTTAAGTGAGCAGACAGGGACCCCCAAGAGAGGTGAAGAGAGCCTGCTCCAGCTCAGACCACTTTTCTAGAGGACAGGAAGGACCCTGTCAGGGCCAGCCTCACCAAAAGATGCCACCTCTAGGGGGTGACAAGCAGCTGGGCCCCTGCCCCAAATCGTTAGCACCCCCACCTGCCCTTCCAGCACTGCTGCTCCACTTCCCTCCCCAACCAGAGTCCCCTTTGTAGAGGACAAATACCCAGGAGAGGACTGTGCCTCATTGCTGACCATCACAGGCGCTGTGCACGGTCTGTGGACCCGTGCAAAGTGTGGGGTGAGGGGCGGACACCTGGGGTTCCTGCATGATTCCCGAAGGAATCAAGCATCCTGGAGCCATCAGAGACAGGACACAAACCTCAAAAGCACATGAAATCCGCTACAAAGGTTTTCAAACATGTTTTCGTTTATTCTGCAACAGAAAGGATAACAATTTTTTAAAAGCTTCCACCAGGATAGTAAATGGGAATGTGCCGTTACTGTGTTACCTGTACCGGCTCTCACGTTGTATGTTTGTGAACCAGCACATGTGTGTGCGTGTGAGTGTATGCAAGGGATGCAATGTACATCTGTTCACATAAATTATCATCCCCATTTCAACTGACTGCATCACCCAAGCCCTGGCAGGCTCGGCATGGTCCCCTGAAGAAGAGAAAGTGTCCTATTCTTCCCTCGTAAATCATTAGGAGGCTTTTCTTTGTCCTCCCTTCCTGTTTTCATAGCCTCACAAAGGGTCTCTGCTAATTTGGGCCCATGGGTGGGAATAGCACCTGGGAAGAGGAGAGGGCGGGCAGGAAAGATAGTTAATCATTTCTTAGGGAATGATTCCCGTGCCAGATAAAACCTGATTACTTGGGAATCGGTCCCCTGGGCTGGAGTGAGTTCCAAGTCAGCTCTGATCACCTCAGGGGTGAGAGGAGGGAAGAGGGCTCTGATGGGGGCAGGTGTCAGCTGGGTCCAGGTGATGGGGCGGGAGTAGTGGCCCCTCCCCAAGCTGAGGCAGCCTCACTCTGTGTCTCCTGTTCCCTCTCCCTGTCTCTGCCCCATCTTTCCCCTCTGCCCTCTCCAGTCTCTCCTCTCCATCAACATCAAATGACCTGCTCTCGGGCAAGGGGTGATAACATTCATCCCCTGGAAACTAGGGGAGGAGCCAGATAAACCACACTGGGTGCCCCCTCCCAGGCCGGGGTGGTGTATTTGGACACAAGAAGAAGCTTTAAAGGAAAGGAGGGAAATGAACGCAGCAAGCCCAGCCATCAACCAGAGGGTACGGGAACTAATGGGGATGTCTTCTTGGCACATCCAGCCAGCAGCCAGCCCTGCCCCGCTCCATCCCCACAGGGGCCTCTAAGGTGCACAGACCCCACCACACATCACACATGTGCAGCCAGGCCACACAGGCACACCTGGACAGGGCCAGCCCCCCTGCAGCCCCTTGCTTGCCCCTCTGCCAACGGGATGTGATGGCCAGATCCTTTCTACAGCCTCAGCCTGGGCCTCTGAGCTTTCCTCATGTGTCATCCAGAATACCAGGCCTACTGTTTTGGAATTCCTCTTACTGTGTGGTTGAAAGCAAAGGAATCAAGTTCATACCAAACCAATTAAAAAATAAAATAAAAAGAGCAAGCGAGGGTTACATCACATTTTCCCCGGTTTCTTTCTTTCCTCCAGGGCCAGCTGACTCTGCCTGGCCACTGCCAGCTGCAGCGAGGTTATTTAGGACTCTGCCTCTCTTAAGTTCGGGTCACAGATGGTCCACTCCATGGGAAGAGGGCCCTGGAATCCAGCTAGGCAGCTTGGGAAGGGAAGTGGGGGATGGGAGAGGTTCTACAGCAGTCCACGGCCAGGGCCAGTAGTCCTGTTGTGTTTTCTAAAGCTAGAATAAAGGTTTCAGACGCCAATGGGGCCTTTGTACCCCTCCTCGTCCCTCTTCTTCTCCCCCTAGTGCCAGGGTCAGTCCCTGAGGTCAGCAAATCAGGGTGCTGTCACAGATCCCCACCATGCCATGGCAGCCAGGAGGCACAGTCAGTGGCGGAGAGAGGTGTGGCCAAGTGGGGATCTCAGTTGGAGGATGGAGACACAGGTTCTTCTTCGATGCCTTGGCCCTCAAGGTGGCTGGTGTACATTAATGCTTGAAAAACACCACCTCCAACCAGGCCTGCTTTGTCCGGGCCATCAGTGGGTGGGATGAAAGGAGTCCCGGGCTGAGGACCCCACAGGCCACAGTAGAACAATGACTCTGGTCTGATCAACACAATTATAAGGGCTGCCCAGTCACCCCTTACATCCTCTGTGTTAAATCAGGCGGAATCAGCAGTAACTAAGAGCCTCGCAGCCTTCTGAGTTCCCCACCACAACACACACCCACGTGCACACACACATGCATGCACAGAAACTGATGCAAACCAGGGTATGTGGACAGATGGAGTCGAATGACCCGCCTCCCATCTTGTAAGGTGAGATTCAGTGGGATTAAGATGCTGGCGAAGAGTAGGTCTTACTCCTGTGCAATTAAGTAAACCTCGTAAGGTGATTAAGGCTCCCAGGCTGCCAGTGAGCAGCTGGGGCATTTAAACAGTAACCACCCAACCCTCTCGGTGTATCTGGTGGGGCTGCATCTTCGGAAGAGTTGGGCTGATTTGGACTTGGCGTAGAATCAGGGTTGGCGGGAGAAGAAGTGGTAAACGCTGGGCATGAGCCCAGCTCCAGGACAGATGTTGGTCTTAACCAGTGTGAGGCTCCCCATCCCCTGGCCACATCCGTTCTTGGCCACCGTCTAGGCGAGGCCCCGCCCTCTAGCTCCCTGTCTTCTCCCTCCCGCCTCTCATTGGCCTGCAGAGCAGGATCCTTGCCGAGTGATCTGTTTAGTGCCCTGGAGTCTCCCCCAGGACTGGACCACAGCACTACGTTACCAGCGTGATAGAATTACGATAGAATTACCATCCGTTTGGAATCTGCAGACTTTGGGGGTAGGAGCTTCTTTCTGTAGCTCTGAAGCTTGAGGTTCTGGAGTGAGGGAGTGGAGGGAAGGGCAGGTGGTAAGGTCCTCGAGCTACTATGGGGTGGGGTGACGAGCTGACGAGGGTCCCCGATGGGCTCCCGAGTGGTCCAGGGACGAAGCTCGACGAGAAGCCCGCGAAGGGAGCTCGCAGCAGAGCCAGCGACGCAGAGGGAGCATGCGCACCACGCGGAGTGAGCATGCGCACTCCTCCCCGGGTTGGGGTGCGCACACACAAACCCGGCACGGCCGGCCCCGAGCCTGGGGTCTGGGTTTGGAGTGGGGTGGTCGGGAAGGGAGGGGACTGCGCTGGGACCATCAGCGTCTCCACTCAGCAGGAGCGTGTGTCTCTCTTCAGCAACCCCTGGTGCGGTTGAGAGGCGGTGCCAACGTCGGGGAGGGCCGCGTGGAGGTGCTCAAGAACGGAGAGTGGGGTACCGTCTGTGACGACAAGTGGGACCTGGTGTCTGCCAGCGTGGTCTGCAGGGAGCTGGGCTTCGGCAGCGCCAGAGAGGCCATCACGGGCTCCCGGCTGGGGCAAGGTAAGGCCGGGGAGGACGTGCCGTGGCCTCCCTTCACGGACAGTGTCACGTGGGGCGCCCAGCTCCGCGCTGGCTGGCCTTGTGCTTTCCAGGCTTTTCTTCCTTTGCCTCCTCCCTCCAGCAGCTGCTGCTCTGTTGGAGGATGCTGGGCCTCCTCCTTGGCGGTCGGAGCTGGAAGGGCTTTAGGGAACATCCAGTCCCCATTTTATGGATTTGGAAGCTGAGGCCCAGAGATGATGAGACCACTTATTAGCAGCCAGTGAATACTCTTCTGGAGGTCTCCCAGCTCTTAACCCTGTGCTTGCTCGCACGGCCCCACTGAGAATGCTGCAATTTCCAGGCCCTTCCGCCCAGAGGAGGCCTCAGAATTCATGTGGACCACCCTGGGCACAACAGAATCCCAGACGTCACCTTACTTTTCCACCCTGGGTTAGCACCACAAATATTCTCTCCCTGCCACTAGAGGTTGGGAACAGGATGCCCTTCGCCCAGTGTCATGAGACACTAACATAAGAAGTGGCCTGGTTTTTATTAAGTGTCCCAAACAAATATGTCATTGGAGCAAAGAAGAAAAGTATTAGGAGATTTTCAAGCAGGTCGCCCTGTTGAGAGGAGTGTTGTAAACATGACAAGACAAGGGACCACTCTCCCTCCTGACCCCTGTGAAGACCACTGATCTCTGCCAACCCTGGTCCTGCAGAGGGGGGAGTCCTCGCCCCCAGTAGACTCTGCGGCCCAGCGAGTGTCCAGCCCTCATCCGGAGAACTGTATGTTGAGCAAGGGAGACTGGAATCTTTTCAGTGTCAACCCCCAGGGAGGCTGCTGCCAACCAGGGCTGCCGTAGTTGGGAGGGGTGAGGATGAAGGAGAGTGGGGTGCAGATGAAGGGGGGAGTGTCCTATCCTGTGGGAAGAGGATGTTTCCATCAGTCAGAATAGGACCATTGTCCCACAGCAAGGAATGTGGTGAGGTCACTGATCACAGCCTGGAGGAAATAATAGCCCAGTGGACCCGGGAGAGTGTTGCAGTCATAGATGGCACTGCTGCAGAGGGGCTCAGCGGTCATCCAGTCCAGCGGATGAGGACTCTGAGGCTCCGGAGAACGAGCCTGAGATCGGCTGATAATTAGTGGCAGAGAAAGACCGAAAGTCTTCTAACTCTCAGATTTGGGCTTGTCCCCCTCCTTACCTGTCTCAGCCTGTTCACATTCAGGATACCTCTCTATCTCCATTCTCTAATCGCTGCAGGCTTCCTGGGGTGCACTGAAGTTTGGGGGTCTAGGGTGGACTTGAACATTGCACCATGCTAGCAGGCAGTTATGCCACGTGACAGTCCTCACCCCCCCACCTCCCAGTGGTGAGCTCTTCTGGGTTCCCTTGGATCTTGAATATTCCCACAGTCCGTGGTACTAATTGGCTAATGTGTTGGTTTGTGGTCTCCCAAGGCCTACAGGACAAAGACCACTCATGCTGAGGAATAAACAAGCACTGGATGACATAAACATTCCATTTATCATGGGCGTGTGCTATCTGACCTAATTATTTCACTGCCCAGAGCTGCCAAAGGTTTCCAAGGGCCTGTGGAACTATGGGAGAAAGAGACATTTGGCATTTTCAGTGCTGTCCTTGAAAGAACCATTGGCTGATTTATTATCTTCTGCCATGCAGGGCAGGTCAACTCCGGTAGGCAGAAAGGGAAAAGTCCACATTCAGTGTCAAGTCACAGAGCAGACAGAGTCAGTTCTCAGTCCTGGCTCCAGCCGGTGGACCCAGTGACCACATCCACAGTGAGAGTGGTGACAGGGCAATGCCTGAGAGTCTGGTAGGCTGAGCCCTCGTCCCAGCCCTGCCACCTACATGCTCGGTGACCTTAAGCAACCTTCTGGGCCTCAGATTCTTCACCAGACTCACGATGTCTGAGGTTCTGTCTCTCTAGACTCCTGTGATTCTGAGACCTGCTCTCGTCACCAGGATGGATGTTAGGGCAGAAGCAGGCACTGCACTCTGTGTTCTGAGACCCCGTGAACGCATCTGGACTCCAGCTCTCTGTTTATATACCTCCCTGCCCCCAAGCCCCACTCACAGCGCTGCGGGGATATTCATTTTATGAAGAATGAATGAATGAACGAATGAAGGTGTGAGTTCCAGTTGCGTAAGCAGGGTCAGCTGAACAAACACTTGGTAGAGAAGTTTCAACGTTCCAGACCCAGCTGTCCACGAGACATATAACATGAGCCACGTATGTGATGTTACTTTTTCTAGTAGCCGCGTAAAGAACAAAGAAAAAGAAACAGGTGAAATTCATTTTAATAATCTACTTTCCTTAACCCAGTATACCCAAAGTGTGATTTCAACATGGCAATCGGTAGAACTTTGATTACTGAGATAGTTCACGGGTAGTGTGCTAACTGTCTGAAATCCAGAGTGTGTTTCTGCACTTAAAGCCCGTCTCGGGCTGGACTGGCCACATTCCAAGTGCTCAGCGAGGCAGTGGCTGCTGCACTGGACAGGGCAGCTCTAGAGCTGTGCCTTTCAAACCCGTTTGCCTGACATTCCCAATCAGAAATACTGACAGAGCGTGCTTTGCGTGTAACACTGAAACAGAAGTCTCCGGAAATGATGCTGACTTTTGTAACATGCAAAGTGCTGTGCCTGTCCTAACCGATTCCACTGTGCTCCTAAAAATCTGGTGGTGATCCTTCAATTAAAAAAGGAAAAAGAAAAAAATCTGGTGGCAACCTGCAGAGTCTATTGTGGGTCCAGAGTCCATAACATTGTTCTGAGGGGTTGGATGTGGCTTCTCCCCAGCATCCTGCTTCTGCCCCAGGCCTGTGGGGCTGAAGCTACTCTCAGACCGTGGCTATTTCCTAGCATAGGGTTTCCTCTCTTGACTCTCTTGAATGAGCTCCAGAAGCTCAGCAAGATCAAGCTGTGGGGTCAGATTGCCTGGTTTGAATCCTGGTTCCTCCGTCAGTCCAGTTATTTAATCTTTGGTCCCTGTTGGGGACCATTTTACTGGGTTGTTGGGATGATTAAATGAGTTAATATAAATGATGTGTTTAGGACAGAATCCAACACATGGTAAGTGCTCAGTAAATATTAGATCCCATCACCACCACCACCATTATCACCACCACCATCATCACCACCATCATCACCGCCACCACCATCATCA